CTTGATATTGACGTATAAGTCCCTTAGGCTCTGTTCACATCTTTTTATTCTTTTTATTTTTGTTTCTCAGACTCAGTAATTTCAATTTTCCTATCTTCAAGTTAGCTGATTACTTCTTCTGCCTATTCAAATCTGCTGTTGAGCCCCTCTAGTGAATTTTTCATTTTAGTTATTATACTTTTCAGCTCCAGAATTTTTGTTTTGTTCCTTGTTGATATTCTTATTTTGTTTATACATTGTTTTCTTGATTTCATTTAGCTTTTGCTCATGTTTTCCTTTAGCTTTTTGTACATATTTAATGCAGCTTTTTAAAAGTCTATCTAGTGAGTTTGGTATCTGGGTTTCCTCAGAGACATTTTCTGTCAATTTGTTTTGTTCTTTGTTCTTTTTGTTGTTGTTGTTGCAAATTGGGCATTTGGATATTATAGTATGTAAAACTCTGGAAATCAGTTTCTCCCTTGCCCCAGGTTTTTTGTTTGTTTAAATTGTTGAAGGCTGTAATACTTTTTTTTTTTGAGACTTTCCCAAACTATTTTATAAGCAAACCCTATTCTTTGTCATGTGTGATCACTTAAGTCTCTGCATTCAGCAAATGTTTTGAGAGATTTCCTTGAATGCCAAGAAGTCTCCCAGTCTTTGCAGATTGGGTCAGTTCTGGGATAATCTGTCAAAATTTAGCTAGGCTTGTTCTAAGTCTAGGGATAATCCTGAGGTTAAGCTTTAAGGTCTTCTCAGGTATTTTTTGAGCATGCATCTTGGCTGGATATGTGTGTAGCTTTAAATTCCCTCATATGCCTTCAGTGTGTTAATTCCCCACAAACAGTCTCACCCCAGCCTCTCCTCCAGCCCTTAGGTAGTCTTCTGTATGTTTCCACCTATAATCCCATGCCCCAGCCATCTGCAGGTCTATAGTTACATTGTAGCTTTTATGAGCAGAGCTTGTCACTTTTCCTGCCCAAGTTCCAGTGTGGGCAAAACAGAGACAAGCACATTGTATCAGTCCTTCAGATATCTCTCAGAAAGGTTCGAACAAACATACACAATAATTTACAAATAAATTCTGCTTTGAGGCTTGCTGTAGGGAGCTGAGAATCAAAATACTACTGCATGAAGACCCAAACCACTGCTATGCCAGGGACTCCCTCCCTCCTAAGGCAAGAGTGAGTAAGAATGCCACAAAACTACTTTTTTTTTTTAAAGATTTTATTTATTTATTTGACAGAGAGAGACACAGCAAGAGAGGGAACACAAGCAGGGGGGTGGGACAGGGAGAAGCGGCCTCCCGCCGAGCTGGGAGCCCGATGCGGGGCTCGATCCCAGGACCCTGGGACCATGACCTGAGCTGAAGGCAGACGCTTAACGACTGAGCCACCCAGGCGCCCCCACAAAATTACTTTCTTACCCTTCTCAAGATGGTTTTTTCTTTTTCTTCTTTTCGATTTTTTTTTTTTTTTGATAGGTATTGGTTTGGTAGCTATAAGCCTTTGTTTTCCACAGTTCTGGTAAGGTTAGTTCAGATATTTCTGCTTGTTTTTTTCCTTCTTCTTTTTTTTCAATATTATAGTCAGGGAATAAGAGTTTGGAAATTCCTAGTTCACCATTTTGCTAGTATCACTTGAGAAGTCTGAAGTGCTATTATTTATTTATTTATTTATTTATTTATTTATTTATTTATTTAAGAGAGCGAGAAAGAGAGAGAGAGGGAGAGAAGGGAGAGGAACAGAGGGAGAGGGACAAGTAGATGCCACACTGAGCATGGAGCCCAACACAGGCTCAATCCTATGACTCCGAGATCATGACATGAGCTGAAATCAAGAGTCAAATGCTTAACCAACTGAGCTGTCTGGGTGCCCCAAGAAGTCTGTAGCTCTATTTTAAGAAGCTGCTTTTGGAACTGATCTTGTCTATTGCATGTAGACCACATGAATTATTATTTCTAAAAGTAAATTCCAAATTTTTAGACTTTTAAAACTGGTTCAAAAATGGTTTTCAAAATAAAAAAAAAAATGAATGTATTGGAATGACAGTTCCTTATTTGGATTTGCTAACGCTTCTCTTTTTTTAGAGCAAACATGAGCCACAGTAGCTTTCTAGCATTATAATTCTTATCAGCATTTAACTTGCTACTAATTACTTCATAATTATAGCCCCACTGCACTCATAGTAAACCTGGAGACTGACTTTAGACGTATTACTAACTTTTAAAATTGGTGAATTTTGGAACTTCTGTCCTATTATTGTTTGACTATCTTTGATTATATTTTTCTAAATGAATGAAGATGACTTTATTCTATCCTTCCCAAACCCTGGATGGAGCCAAATTCTTCTTAACCTTTCTAAAAATGAGTTCTAAACAAATGTTTCCATAATTCACTCTCCTTGAAAATGTCTTCCAAAGATCTTTTGCAGAATTTTATGTATTTGACTTCTAAAAGGAAAAATAAAAACTGCTGAATTTGATCAAGAAATTTTCCTTTGCTTTGCATTTAATAAAGTATCTTTCTTTCAAGCCATTGTTCAAAGACAAAAAGAAATGATAAGAAGAGTCATGGTCCTGGAAGCATCCCCCTTTATCTTTTTGGGAAGCCAAGTTCTATTGAAGAAGAAAAAGCAAAGATCTAAAACTATCTATGTTCACAAGGTCATGCAAACAGGCCAGATGAGGCAAATAGCAGAGTGGGGGATATATTTCTGAAGATTCACTATGAGGTCAAAAAAGAACACAAAGCTTTTCATTTATAGAATATTGTCTCAATCAAGAAATAGACTCTTAATTTTAGAGAACAAACTGATGGTTATTTAGTAACCATTCTTACTCACTCTTGCTTTAGGAGGGAGGGAGTCCCTGAGACAAGGGGATGGGGATGGGTTAAATAGGTGATGGGGAGTGCACTTGTGATGAGCACTTGGTGATGTATGAAATTGTTGAATCACTATATTGTACACCTGATACTAATATAACACTGTATGTTAACTAACTAAAATAAAAACTTTTAAAAAGAGAATACTGTTTCTATTTTGGCACAATGCAGGATTATGTGCATCTGATTACAATACAGAATTCTCTAACACTTCTATTTTCAACAATGCTGCAAGGCCTTACTCTTGGGGGAGCAGAGTAAGAAAAATGCATAGTTGCCCTAAATTTATCTGCCCTCACCAGGGCACCTAGGGTGCTGGTTAATAAATGGCTCCTCACTTGCATACCAGCTGCATTTGCTCAGGGCTTTTCCAAAGAGTTCACTCACCTCACATTAGTCAGCAGCTTCCTATAAGACAAACCTTCACTTTGCCCTACTGAAGGATTATTCAGCCTTATAAAACATACCAGATTCCCCATTCTCAGTAGGACATTTAATTAACCCCCATTGATTCACCAAGCAAAACAACCAGTAAGAAATTTTGGGCTTTTCATTGTGACCCTAGGATATCCACCCACTTTTTGGTATTTTGAAAATTTTTATCCCAGTTGTACTCTTAAGTTTTCAGAGTACAGACAGCACAGAAATAAATAATTTCTTGAACTAACCCAACAGCACTGCTGGACCATCCATTTGGTCTAAACTGAACTACCGACTGGGGAGAAGTAGGAAGGGAGCCTTTGTGGAGCGGGGTGTACACAGAATGCTGGGTGTGCACAATCACTCAGGACTGTTACAGAGAGGTTGCCTGGGAAGCCCTCTTGTTAACCTGAGGTTACAGCACCTCTCAGCATGCTCCCTAAAGGCTAGCCTTCCTTATAAGAAGGTTCTACCATAATATAATTCATATAATGCACTGGGTTCCAGAGAAAAGTAGGGAAATACTTGTGCATGGGTAGATACTGATCTTAAACTTCATTTTATCAGGCCTTTGGGCAATTACAGACTAATATCTCCATGCTTGAGGGAAAAAAATACACCTTCAAAGTCTTTAGCAATAATACATGAGCTTTAAGTACCTAGCTGGAGCTTGAATAGGCTTTTCTCTCCCTAACCCTCTAATATTTTTTGTTTTCAAATTTGTATATGGTTGAAGTTTATTCACTATCCCTCTGTGCTAGGAGCTTTTCTAACTTGTCTCACTTAACCTTTGAAATTGCTATGTGAAGTTGTATCACTAGCCCTTTTATAACACCTAATGCAGTTACTAACACATAGTAGGTTTTCAATAAATACTTGGTGAATGAAGAAAAGCTAAATGGATAAATGAATGAGTTTATAAATGGGCTCAGATAGTATTAAGCAACTTGATCGTAATTACAGAGCCAGTAAGCTGAACTCATATTTAGGGTTAAAAAATGGGGGTGGGTGGTATTGCAGACTTGATTTAAGCCAGTTTGCCCATTCAGCATTTTTTAGTTATTTTGGTATTCATCAGTGGCTTCTGTTATAGATAGATGGGACTAATGTCTCCTCACAGATTGTATTTATCAACAAAATCAAGTCCTAAGAAGGAATTCTGTCATACTTCCATAATTCATTAGCAAGTGGGTACAAGAGCAGTCACATATCCATTTCTCGGAAGCTTACTGGTATTCCTGCTCCTTATCCTGACAAACAGCTTGCTTGTAAAATGTACCCCCAAGGCAAGTGCAACAAATATTCTGACAGCAGGATAACTAATCTTCTGGTTGGATTAAGGAACAGCATCCTCTGTTAAGTGGGAAAACATAGGACTGTAGAAATTCCAGACCGTGGACTTGCTCTCAAGAAGTAAAACTACTGCCTGCAGCTTCCTGTTCCTCATTCATGAGAGGGTGAAGATGCCTGGACAGACCTTCAAGCCAATTCCTCCTGAACCATTTAGAATGTGACAAATGCAGTACCTAAGTTGTTTTAATAATGGCTGCCTTGCTTTGCCCAGGTATGTCTTTCTTCCAGAAACCGCTGAAATCCTTGAGCTAAAGCTACTCCCAGATATGGCTACCCATGGGAAAAAAGGCTAGAGCAAAGATGCTGGACTTCTATCTGGAAGCCTCCAGAGGGTGCTCTCTCTTTGGGCACTATTGTTGAAAAGCAACTACTCCTTGGACTGCAGCTCTGTTAAACATGGTTTGCTGTGTTACCCTGCATCACCCTTGGAGGTAGGAGTGACTCAGAAGTAGAAGGAACTACCAGGGTTCCAAGCTACTCTTCTTCACTTGACATACATCTCTGGAGAACTGATCCTGCCAGGAAAGCCCTGAGGGCAAAACACTTCCTTCCTGTTTTTCTCTATTCAAGGCAGGAAGCAGCTAATATGTACTTTCTGAGTGATCATCATACGGCGTGCTCCTGTGGGCCACTGTTGCCTGGTAAGGCTACTTTTGATTTTTTCCACAGAAAAGTATTGAGTATATTTGAAGATTTCTGAGCACCTGAGAGTTGGTATCTACCAAGCTGTCGATCTTCATGAGGTAGGGCAGGAAACATTACTCACTGGAGGCCGTGGTTGCCAGCCCACTCATGAATTAGCCAACTTTTTATGTAGATAAATGCCATGACAGATCAGTTATTAAATATAAAATACACTGTGCCACATAAATCTTTGTTTCCCATTGCTTGCTTCTGGGCTGAGCTGACTCATGAGATGAGTTTGAAAATTAAAGCCTGGGAAATGTAAGTGCAGAAGGCTTGCACAGAAAATTATAAAAGTGTGATTTGTGAGCTTGAGAGTGGGGTAAAGCAGAGGAGATAGCGTGTGGGGATCAGAGGACATCTACTTGGAAATGGATCTCCATCAGGAAAGCCAGACATGCCTGGAAATGTGAGGAAAGCTGTACTTTCCAGAGCATTCTCTAGCCTGAGGAAGTCACCACTCAGGCTAATAGCTGCAAGAATCATGGTAGTAATCTTTCAAAAGAGATTTTCAAAAGAGATTTTTGGGAATTGGTGTTCGTATTAATCATTACTCTTTCTGTTCCAAAGAACAGAAACCAAACTAAGACAGGCTCAAAAAGAGCTGGGGGATGGGGGGAAGAAAGAATAATTTATCAATTCAGGTAACTGAAAAGTTCAAGACTGGGTCTAGATGCCCAAGCTATGACATTAGGCATCTGTCCTTCTCCATCTTTTGCCTCTGCTTTTTGCTCTGAGTTGGCTAATGAGAGACCAAAGATGGCTAGTAACAGCTCCAGGATTACTTTCTTCCAACTTAAAAACACCAGCAGAGTGTTTATTTTTCTTGATATCTCTGGAGATTATTCTAAGTAGTTTGCTCACATATCAACTAATCTCTTTGGCCAGGCCCAGGTCTAGTATCCATTCCTGGAGCCAAGAGTAGGATCAATTCCAGCTGAAGCATATGGCCTGAAGGGAAATAGTGGCTAAAGGAAGAGATAGGTTCTCTTAATATGAGGGGTGTTGAGCAGGCAAAAACAGGAGGTGTTCACTTCAGAAGTATTATTGCCTTTGGCCATATATGTGAAGAAAGGGGACCAAATTAGGACAATTAAGTTTCTCCACGATATATTTCCACTTCCACTTGAGAGACTAGATGGGATTCTAAAGATATCATCTTTTCCTTCTCTCCTTCCTTCCTTCCTTCCTTCCTTCCTTCCTTCCTTCCTTCCTTCCTTCCTTCCTTCCTTCCAGACAGTAGCTGAACACACACTGTGTTCCAGGCATAGTGTTAAGTGATATAGATGAACAAAGATAGTGTTCCTAACCCTCAGGAGCTCTAGAAGTTTCCTGAAGTCTACATCAATCCTAAAAAAGGTAGTATTAGCTTGAAATCCTTTGGCCTAAATGTGGTGCCTAGGGAAATCTAGTCAAATGACTAGAAAGAGATTCTTGTATGTAGACACGATCCAGGCTCCACAGGATTTTCCAGGTTTCTTTGTGTGGAGAGTCATTAACCACAGAACCACAGCCCACTCAATTTTGACACCTTAGGCTGTACTGCAAACTTTGAATCACAGGGTAATTGAAAATAGTTTCTACTGTATACAAGCTAAGAGTAGACATTATTGCTTATTGGTTGGTATGGCCAAAATGTTCCTAAATGTGCCCTGTATATATTGTACAGGGAAGATTTCTTGGAATTACTTAAGCAATTAAAATCCCCCATGACATTCATTATACACAATCGAAGAAACACGATAAAAAGCATTTGTTAATTATATAAGTAATGCAGTCCTGTAGTAACCAACACAGCCCTGTGAGCTGTGGGCATAAGCACAGCGCTATTGGGGAAACTGTCTCTTCTCTTCATATTAGTCTTGCAGAGTTTCATGGAAAAGACAGGATTTCCTGACTCTATTTTAATTTCACTTTGTAATCACTCATACTCGGACATTTATAGGCTAACTGTGTCACCAGCCTGCTTTCCTTCATTTGTATTTGTGCTGGATGTTATTAGAATAACATTTGATCCTATCACCAGAGATGGGAGATGGCCTGTATGAAAGGACAGAATAAGACAAACTGGATCTTCTCTAATTGCAGCCAAGCTACTATCTTTAAGATAAGAAAGCAAGACACTTGACCCTGATCATTATAAGCCTTTGTTTTCTTTTCTATAAAATGAGGGGAGTAGTCTAACTAGTGCTGCCTAAGATTATGGAAGTGTTCTATATTTGTGCTGTCCAATATGGTAGGCACTAACTATATGTGACTTGTGACTAGCTGGTGTGACTGAAGACTTTTTTCCTGCATTTTTAATTTCACTTGAAATAAATTATTTTAAATTGCAATGTAAATAGCCAAACCACTGGTGACTACCATATTGGACTACATAGGAAGCGCGCTCTATAGTCCCAGACAACTCCCAAATTCTAGGGTTTTAGAACTACATGTGAAGATTGTTAAGTCTGGGTTTCTCTGTATGAAAGTCCTTTTAAGCATCAAAATCCATTTTGTGTTCTCAAACAGTGCAGTTTCCATTCAGCTTTCTGATTCAGCTGAAAGATGAGTAAAGGCACATGTAAACAGAAAAGCTCCCGGGGGAATGAACATCATCTCAACAGAGCTCTTGTCAGTTGAGCGTTCCAGCAGGACCCCAGAATATATTACCTTTGTGAACTATTCTTCTGCTATGGCAGCCAAAGACACACTCCAATACTGCCGGGAGGCTGGAGCCTTTCTCCTAGGCTTTCCTGATACAGGCTGTTGTTTCAGACCCACGAGGCACACATACCTGCAGTGAGACTGTGTCTGCACCAAACAAGATGACACGGAGGTTTAAAAATTACTGGTTAATTGAACCAATAATGATAGCCCAGCATGGAGGGCAAGATCCCCAAAGCCAGAGAACATTAAAGAGAGAGACGGGAATTACCACATTGCCTGGGACTGAGTCTGTGCAGGTAAACACTGCTTTTAGTTTGCCAGCTGGCAAGTGTCAATTTGAATTGGTCAGTGTTCCATTTTGAAGGGCCGAGGCTTTCTGCAACATTATCATCCTTAGGACTGCTAGGTCCACATCAGATAGCAGAGTAGAAGGAGGTGAATCATATGTTGAACCCTGTTCAGACTATCCCCTGAGTGGCAGACCAGCTTTCTCCAACTCTGCTTTACGCCTCAATGCCCAATCCATGAGCCCACCCAGCTCAAGGTGTGGAAAGTCACCTTGAAGGACCCATTTGGTACAAAAACTTGGTTAAACTTACAAACGTCCAATAGTTCTTCTTGATATCTTTGCCCCCAAAGGATTCAGACAGATGAGACAGCATAGCTAATGGAAAGAGGAATGACCACCCATGCCCAAAGTCCCACTCTGACACCAACTTATCCTCTAAGGTCTGAGCAATATAAAGGATCATGAGAAACAATTTGGATTGTTAACTGCAGTGCTCTTGCTTTATTCAAATGCCATGGATGCCACGTACAAAAGCTTACAAAGTGTTGCTTGACCTCCTGATCAGAAGTGGTGCTGAAAACCCCCCAGAGTTTGCATTTGAGGGATTCTATCAGGACTGGCTCCTAAGGGGGAGGCTCTTACTGTCTGGGCACCCAATGGTTGTCCTAAAATTCATTTTATTGCCCCTTTTCCTGTATCTGGTTTTCCCAAATGGTTGTCATTCATTCATCCAGCAAATATTTACAGAGCACCTTCTGCCTGTTAGAAACTATTCCAGAAACTGTTTTGGTAGTGAATCAAATAAACCTTGATGGAACTAATATCTTGATGAGAAAGATGGAGTATAAGAAAGACAAAGACCGGAAACAAATAAATATTTAAATGTCGGGCAGTGGAAAGTGCTATAGAGAAATGCAGCTCAGAGATGATGATAAGGAATGAGAGACTGCCATTTCTTACACAGTAGTCAGGGCAGGATTCTCTCTGATAAGAAAACATTTGGGTAGAAACTAGATAGAAGTGAGGGAGTGAGCCATTTTATTAACCAAGGAAAATATGTTCTAGGCCGAGGGAATAGTCAGTGCAAAGGCCCGGATGCTGGAGGGTGTTTGGTGACTTTGTAGAACTGCATCGAGACAGTGTAGCTGGAGGGGTGTGAGCAAGGAAGGAAGTGGAAGAAGATGAAATCAGAAGTGTGTGTGTTTGTGTGTGTGAAGAACATGTAGGGCCTCATAGGCCATTGCAAGGAATTTGGTTGTTACTCTGAATAATATGGAAAGCCACTGGAAGATCTTAAACACAGACCTGGTAGGACCTAACTTACTGAAGTTTCACTTTGGCTGCTGTGTGGAGCGGAGTCTATATGGGGATGAGAGTGGAAGTTAATGACCAGTGGAGGTGAAACTAGTGGAAGTGAACCATTCTTAGAGTCTGATTTATTTTATTTTTTTAAAGGTTATTTATTTTAGAGAGAGAGCACGGGCACATGCACGTGGCGGGGAGGGCAGAGGAAGAGAGAGAGACTCTCAAGCACACTCCCTGCCTGACGTGGGGCTTGATCCCACGACCCCGAGATCATGACCTGAGCCAAAACCAAGAGCCAGATGCTCAACCGACTGGGCCACCCGGGCGCCCCCAGATTCTGATATATTTTTAAATGTAGAACTAACAGGATTCGCCAATGAACTGGTTGTGAGGTGTGAGAAAGATGGAGGGACAAGGACTGACTCTAGGGTTATCACAAAAGCAATTTCTACTACACCATCTTTGGACGCTATAACATAAAGAATGGCAGACGTTTGCCCGAATAAGATACACAGATACATGAGGCTTCTGCCACCTCTTCTAGCCAATAAGGAGCATTCAGCCATTCAATCTTTCTGATCCAGCAAATGGCACAGTTTGGGGAGTCAAAAAGACTGGTAAGAGAAATGCTATCAACCACTTATTCCTTCCTTAAGACATTAGCCCATCCTGGGTCTCATTTCTTCTGATAGGATTGTTGAAAAAAATTAA